TATACGTGCACGTACTGAACATGTGGAGCTTGCTTGCGTATGTAGAAGCGCCAGTGGACACAATAGGGTACATGCACCCCCTGAAATGGATATGCGTGCAGTTACTTGTACACGCGGGTGAACAGTCATGCACTATTCCTAGCGAAGAAGACCACCCATGTGAACCTCTGTCCAAATATACACATGCAGTTGTCACCGGGTGAGGCAGTGTCATGGGCCTACTGGCACGCACATATACGTAGCGAACGGTCTACGTGCACGAATAGCCGTGTATTTCTAGTTGCGAAAATGTAACACACATATCAAACCTCATATAGCCGTATATATGCAAATGCCGGCGTACACACATATAGAACTCTACGTAGGCGTACGTACCCGATGGCAGCGGCCATGGCAGTATTAGAGCGCCTACTGAGCTGCACATAACTATACTCGCGTCTCTATGTATGAGGCTGCAACTATAGGGCCACTCATCCTGACGCGGCTCCATGCATACGCAAGACTTTACTGACGATAACTTGAGGGGCAGAGAGGGAGCCACAGCCAGAACGCAAGCACAGGTATATCCAGGTGTCCACGTATAAGGCTGTTTTTGACGCTCCATTCACCCTCACGAGACCCCGTGCATATGCAGGATCCTACTGAATATCACTCCAGAGCCAGACAGCGAATCACTATTAGATGACCGTCACACAGATATACCCGCGTGTCTGTGTATGAGGCTGCTATTACTGGGCCGCGTATCCCTGCGGTGTTTGCACAGAGAAGGGTGTCGGCTCACCTTTCCTTTTGTAATAAATACGTATCCCTCTGTCTATTTTTTGTATGTCGGATGATTGTAGGCGTGTCTCTCTCGTGTTATACATATACATATACACATGAGCAAACACCATAAGCGGATGATGCCTGGGTGGGGCTCGGTGCCTTCTTGCGTGTGCGGCGTTCAGTCTGTGACGCACACATCCGTACATGCTGCGCAGGTCTCATCTGTCTAGAAGAGCACAGGTGTGTACTGAGTAACGGCATTCCGCCTTCTGCAGCCATCCGTACGGGCTTATACAAGGGTACGCCCCAGGTTAGCGATTGTGTGCCAGGAATACGACAAAACAGAAACAAAGACACATGCAAACACATGGCGTTCTGTCGAGGTGCACCGAAGATATTACAACCGCCGAGGAGCTTCCTCTCCACAAGGCGGCGGCACAAGAAAATTCGTGGTTGTCGAGCCGCCCCACGTGCCCACACATACGTTAGGGGGCCTCCACTCTCGCTCCCACCATATATACATATATATATATATATATGTATATGCATAGAAGCTATATGTATATGTATATACTTGTAAATGTATATATCCACATGTGTATACGTATTTGTAGGCATCTTCAGATATTTATACCTACGCGCGCAGAAAGCGGACAGTGGCGCCTGGTGACTCCGCGCGTGTGCAGAGCACGGTGTGTGCGAGCCCACATACATTCGTACATTCCTGCTTCTTAGATCTGCTACAGTGTGCAGACGTCTCTCTTCATATAGAATCGTGAACGATGGCGTTTCCAGTAACAACGAGAAGGGACGTTTCTGTGAGTTCGCGTTCACACAAGCAAACCTACACTGCAAGAGAAAGGTACACACGAACACTGGTATATGCGGATACACGCGTTCGTGCGTGTACAAAGAACCGCAGCAGCCGGTCGATGCGGAGAGGGGCATGCGCGCACTCGCAAGGACAAATAGGCATGCTTACGCCCCACCACGCACAGAGCCACGAGTGCACGCTCGTCCACGGATGCATATAAACATGCGTGCGCGTATTTCGCCAAATGTGCCTATATATATAGATATATGTGCCAATATATCTGCGGTCAAGGAGTGATTCAATATTATGCTGTAATTTCAGGTTCGGCCCCTGCGTTGCGAATTCTAAAGCTCAAAATATCTAACTCGACTCTGCGGCACGCCTTTGGCTTACGTGCGCAACAGATCCAAATAGACCATATGTATTGACTATGTTCAACGTGCCGTCCACACTGCTGGCGTTCATGACCTGCAGACACGCAGCGGCATATGTTAATACAGGCACGCAAGAAAGCGTAGATGCGACTGCGCCCGTTGTTAGCGTCACCCTATCCGCCGTTTGCACATATGACGGAATATGCAAATTATCACCTGCGGTAATACCTACACTTAAGCATATATACAGATACACACCGGTACATGCACATTCATATGCAGGCGCACCTGGGCACATAAGCATACGAATACATATGTATATATGTACATATGTAGACGCCGGAGCGGTACACTTGCCACAAGCCGGACGCACATCCTTCTGCTCGTGGCACGGTGCCTATCAACAAAGACATAAGTAGCCCGTCCCCGACACGAATACGCAGGAGTACCCACGCGGCCGCCAGACACCAGCAACTGTACATGTGTGAACATGGGCGAACATGTCCGCATTATCAAGGACAACGGCTGCTGGGCAACATATTTGCTGTTCTTCCCCTAGTCCACGGTTATACGTATAAGACACGCACGTACATGTATACGCACTTCCTCACGAGCAGGTCACCCCCCGATCGGCAGCAAATTTCGCATGTGCGGCTCCTAACAAGAACTAGTGCACTCAACCAGACTTGCGTATACGCTTCCCCATCATCAGCTCATCGCCTGTTAGTCGTCAGATTGACTTTTCTCTGGTGATTCTGGTTCGCTATACACATACGCGTGCATACGCGTTGCCGTAGTCAAGTACGTAGGCTGCCAATAATCGTGTTCACAAGTCCTCCTCTGATTCTAGGTGATACGTGCACACGGCATGCATATATGTGCGCGTCACCTTCAACACGGAGTCGCCTCCTTCTTCTCACACTCGCCTGTTCTCCTCCAATTGTTGCACATACATGTAAGGTACGCACATACAATGTGTGACCTCTTAGCTTGCCGCAGATCTGGTGCCCCGTGTTCACCTAGCGGCGACGCATCTGACAAGTAACAATAAGTCATCTGACAGCCCTGTATAAATATATATCTCCGAGGTTTCTTAAAAGGGTATCAGGGAAGGAGACGGTATCGCCTGATGTGTCCAGCATTCGTTAGTGCCATATAAACTGATGTAATTCACTGGCGCACTATCCAGGCGTCCCTTGCTAATTTTGACAATACATACAAGTCATATGTATACACAAGTGTATACTATTGACCGCCTCTCTTTTCTTCGAGGGGTCTAGTACGCATGGCAACAGCATTTTCATACAAGGAGAAAGAACGAAAGCGTCACAGAGAGGGAAGCCGCTCATATACGCGTCTGCATATATTTCAGTAGACGTACGTGCGGATCGTCTGCGTTCCAAAAAACTTCTGTACAGAGGTACACCGGAAGGCTCAGATAGAATCCGCTTGAGGCAACGGCTCGCACGTGCATATGCGGACATCTGGATAGACACACACTTGATTGTCTGTGTGCAAGAAGGCGTTCGTGCAGGCTTACTCGAGTGTATTCATATAGAACTCGTCTGTACCTATATAGAGCACGCTCAGATGCACACATATGCGGCTACATGTGTGCGGCTCTCTGGCTATCCGTCCTCGCCACGCTCGCACACAGGCCTTTATACTTGCGAGGAGAAAGTGAAGAGGGCATGAGAGGATGTAAGTGTCACGCAGAAGTATGTCACCACATTTGGAGGTGTGCTAGCCGAGGCTGATCATACATAAGAGTTGCTTGCCTTCATGAGGACGTATTCAAAGCCTTACACACTTGAATGTCCATAGATAATTTCTCCGTACATATACAGTGTATGTGAAAGGCGCATAGACGTAGACGTGTGTGTACGCGTCTACGGCTCCTCGTCTTTATATTTCGTGCCCACGGCCACTCCCATGTGTGTGAAAAAGTGGAAGACCGCCTGATAGGGATGCCTATAGCGCGCCATAATATGCTATCACATTCAGATGCGTGCGTAGGCGATAGTCACCAAACGTAGATATGCCCCTTGCGGCGCACAAATACGCAGGTGCAGCTGCCTTCGCGTGTATCGCATATGTTTCGCTCCCGCCACCTCATGCATGTATATACCTTCATATAAGGATCTACAGTGTCACGCATACGTCTGTGGATACCCGTGCAGACGTACTGTATATGTCTCCTTTTCCCCCTTCTTTAGGGTATCGATACACGCATGGTCGTGTGCGTCTAGAAACCTTTACACGGGCGCCGCACGTGTGTTTATGGAGCTCCGCTGCCCAGACATCCCATGGGGTGTACCTCCACGTAGGCGCTCCTTCCAGTGGAACAAACGTCTAAGATGTCGATCTGTGTAATATGATTCATCCTTGCTATGAGGACAGTTACGTGTATCTAGCTAGCTCGTCCGCACGACAGTGAACGTTTTTGTAACGGTGCAAACTGAATGTAGAGAAATGTATCCATGTGGAAGGCGCTCTCAGTGGAGGACAGGCATTCTGTGCACTGGGTAAATTTTTCGTATAGGGGACGAAACATGTGCATATACCAGTCTTTCTTTGCAATAGAAAAGCGCCAGGATGCTAGATATGAGTAGCGTAGTAGCTGTTCTGTAAAAGGGTTTACCCCTGCATTGAGTCGCGTCCTGTGCGTGACCTTGTGTCACGGTATAACTTTGTGGAAGGACGCACCAATGTATAGGTAATCCCCGCGTAGAAGTGTTACAATGTGTATTAGGTCACATTTCGTCTGTGAGCGGAAACGTTTGTACATATGCGTGTATAAGTTCATATATTTGAATGTAGATAGATAGATAGATATTTACATACGGGTAGATATGTCGCGCCCTAAACGTTTTAGAGGAACAAATATTGACGTATAGATGATACCGTGTGTAGGCGAGTGTATAGTATTTCATGTTATGAATCATTTCCAGAGAAGATTTATACATCGTTGTGCAAACAAATATGCGTACACATACGTATATGTATATACATGTATACAGATGCGCCTGTACGACAGCGAGACGTACGAATTGTAATGACTACTTCGGTATGGCAGTAGATGTATGTAGCGTGTTGTGTCCTCTGTTTGTGAAGCTTGCTGACGTAGCAGATGTAAAATGACAGGAGCCGCAGAAGTAAAAGCAACAGTCGTCCAAGATGGCTTCTTACCTGTGCGGGTGAGAGTAGGTTTTTGACTACAGGGATTGATAGAGCAAATATAAGCAGAAATACAAGAAGTTCCACTTGTATCTTGAAGACCAGCGCGGCGTTCTCGAGGACGTGGTAGGCGAAGATGAGGAGTATGGCGAAGAGACAACAGCAGATCCAGACAGACCAGACGGCTGGGCTGTTCGTATACAAGTCAATGGTGCTTTGCAAAGAAACTAGGAGCAAAACAATTTCCACAAAAACATGAGAAATGCGACTGCGACTCAGAAAGACAGAAGATGCTGCAAGTCCAGCAGCCAGGAAAAAGACTACGACGACAAGCCAGACTGCTGAAGGCCTCGCCAACGAAACTTGCTGCATACAGACAAGCAATGCAGCTGCTGCGATCGCCTCCCCTAAAAACGCTGTCCACTTTTCCGCGAATTCTTTCTTCGCCGCAGGCCAGGCAGCACTTATGCGGCCTCCTACGCTTCGGCAGAAACCCTCCACAGCTGGGCGATACCAGCAGCAGCATGTTCGTCCCTTATCTCTTCCGCTCCCGTTAGTAGCAGACACAGGTGTTGGCAAAGATATGTCTCTGCCGGTCCCCCCTACAGCGCAACACAAAAAAAGACGTTGGCAGGGTTTCCCCCTCCACTGACTTATATATATAGACAGAGCTAGAGAGAAATATGAGTAAGAGTGTAGCATGCATTACAAATTCCGTGTATCTTGTGTTAGAGAGAAACCGAGAAGGACGATACAGACGAAGTACTTCATCTACTCATATACATCCATATACTTAACACCTTGTGGAGAAGTATATCAGCGACAGGTTCAAGAGTAGATCCACGTATATACTCAGAGAAAGATACAGATATGCCTGAAGTCTCGTACTCATTCACATATACATATATGTATGCTGCCGCGATCATACATATGGGGGTCTGCCGCGGCAGTGCAACCTACTGGCTTGTAGGGCGACGCCGTGCACGTGTTATAGGACGGCTACTATGAAGGAGTGGACCGCGCAACGTGTTGCGACATGCAGCGGGGAACAAAGAGATTCAGACGCGATAAGCAGATTTGGCAAGAAAGGGATAACGGCACAGGGAGCAGGAATGGGGAACGGAAAGAAGATGAAGAGGAAGAAGAAGAACAAAGAGAAGAAGAGGAGGAACGACGGACATCAAGGAGGGCCGGCTAACGGTGGCCCAGAGCCTGCAAAAGGTCCGCTACTCGGGAGACCAATTGCAACTGTACGCATTGTAGGCGGAGCAAGCCCAACCACTGAGAAAGAAGAAGAACAGCAGGCGATGCCGACTGCAACTGACAAATTCGAAATGAGCGGAATGACGAGAAACAAAATCACGTAGCACTGGTTTGTATGGTGGCTCACGTGGCGCAGCTGAGGAAGGAGAACAGGAATGAATCTGAGGTCGGAGAAATGAAGAGAAGCGGTTTCTAGAAGATGTTAAAGTGTCTGACACTCACAAGTAGTGCAAGCGAGGAGCGAGGTAACAAGTGTGATGAGCGGAATGAAAAGAGGCAGCGTTTTCCAGAAATCAGCTGTGGAGTGCGTGATGTATAGCTGTGCGGAGCAGGTGAAGTGGTTAGTAATAACTGAATATGAGGTCAGGGAAATGAAGAGGAAAAGGCTTTCTTAGAATTCACCCGTAGGGCGTTAGATGCAGGGCTGCCGAGCGTATGAGATGGGTGGTTACAGATACATTCGATATAAGAGAGCCGAAATAAAACTGATGTGCGTGACATAAAGAGCGCCGGTCCTTTCAGAGATCACGTGCAAAGTGCCCGGTGGAGGGTTGGTGAGCACACGAGCTAGAAGGTCACATACACGTTCGAGATGGGAGAGTGCAGTCAGGCTGAGATGAGAGAAGCGGGGGCACGAAGTCTCCCGCACATGTCGGCTGTGGGTTGTCTGACCAAGCTGTGAAGGCTATGCAACGAAGTCACGCAAAGACAAGACCAGCAAGTACACGTCGATCAAGAAACAGAACCGGTCAGTGTCGGGGAGGAACTTCTTGTTTTGTTCTATCGCCTCATTCTTCCTTCCCTCTGAGCTTCCACTGTCTCTCGGTACCTGTTTTGTCCTCCTCGCGCAGAAGACGAGTGACTTCGTCTTCCTCATCTGCATGGTCTTCTTCTTGTGTCAGTATTTTCTCTGTGTCTTCTCCCCCTTTTTCAGTTCGACGAGCTGTCTGTCCCTTCGCTCTTTCCTGCTGCTTTGTTTTCCCCTCTGAATGAAGAGGCCAAGCTTGAGCGAGTGGACAAGATACGGCAGCTGGAGAGAGGAGGACTAATTTCTCCACTCTACGAAGTGTATTCATAGGGAAGAGACAGGAGAGGAAATGGTCATCGAGACAGAAAATAGCGGGGACACAGCTGCACCAAGTGAGGAAGGCATAGTTGCCTCCAACTGACCACCACAGCTGCAGCAGGAGATGTGCGCAAGCAGCAAGAAGGCGACAAGAGCGAACAGGCAGGAGGAGCATAAAACCAGCCACACACTCGACGATGAGAACAGCTACTGCAGCAGTAGCGTGGACGAGATGTGCCTCTTGATGCAGATACCAAGAGAAAGGATTAGGCAGAGGCTGTGTTGCATACAGAGAATCAAATACGGTGAAGTCTCTCCACACGTTGCTTTTGCTGCGGAGCTTCGTCAAGCAGCTGCCCACAAGCAGACGAAACAGCAGCCACCGACTTCCCCATAGAGCTATGAGGGGCGTTGGCCACGTTTTCGGCAGACGTGAACAGCTCCAGAAAGGACATACAAAAACTGAAAGAAATCCCAATTCAAGCAGAAGAGTCTCCCACGCAAAAGCATACCAAGCCTGGCCTATACTAAATACTGATTGATACAGCACCCACAGCACCAGCAGAATACTTCCATGGGTCCCCCCTTTTATTCCCACTAGCAGAGATAGCAGGCAACCTGCAGGGATGGAACACAAACAACAGAAGATAAGGAGAGCAGCCAACGTGCAGGGAGGAAGGCATCACAGCAGGAGAATTCTCCAATCAATTTCTTGTGGCGAAGACAGAAGACAGTCAGCAAGGAAGAATCCCACAAAAGAAGAGCAAATGAAGCTGTCTACCTGCAAAAGGGATAGCCACACAAGGCGGGGTTACTTTACATGGATCTATATGGCGAGTAAAGCAGACACCATGCAGGGAGATATACATAAATCTGTAGAGCGAAGATAGCAGAAAACCTGCTGGGAGGAAGGACTCGGCGAGAGTAGCGCAAGAATAGCAGGCGACTTGCAGGAAGGAAAGAGTCCACCAGAGAGTAGTGGAGGTACCAGGCAGTCTGCAAGCAGGAAAGGGACCCCAGGATGATAGCATGAACAGCAGACCAACAGCAGCGGGGGAATGCCGGCCACGCAGGATGCCTCTATATGAACTTGAAATCACGCATCTGGAACTACGCAGCAAAAATTTAGACCTTACCTTTACTCGTATCTCAGTGTCTACTTCTGTACCTATACAGCTCCGCCTCTATTTGCATACCTGTATCTATTTATGATCACGTCGAAAAGGCGAGGCAAAGAGAAGCAAAGACGAAAAGGAATAGAAGAGCAAGAAAAGCAGGACAGTTGCTTGGAGGAGCAGATGTGAAGGGAGGCAGAAAGTAATGAAAGGGGAAGGAGAAAACAGGGAGCAGGGGCCAGACCCACAGCCACGAAGGACGATCTCCGCAAACCAGACATACGACAGCCGGTAAGAGGGCGTCGATCTGAGCGTCGAACGACAACCGGCAGTCTTGGTAGAAGAGGAAGAAGGTGTGGAAGGGAGACGTTTACGCGAAATGATGCAGAAGACAAAATAGAGCGGGTGAATCATACGATGCGGAAGACAGAGGATCAAACAGAGACTCGGAGAGCGTGGGGGACTGAGGCCAACGGAAAAACGTAAGCCACCTCGGAAACGGAAAGCCCGTGTGCTATGCACGAGAACCTGTGGAGAAGGAAGCGTACAGAAGACGATGACAGAAAGGAAAGCAAGACGAAGGGAGAAAAAAACAGCTACGTTATAGGACGAGGGGCAGAACAAAGGAGAAAGACGACCAGGAGGGAAAGGCAAACAGGGAGGAGGCGTAAGCGGAAGCGGTGGAAATGAAGCCGCGAGTGGATGGGAGAAAACGCTCAGGCTTCCTGCTCAACCATCGCGTTCAACAATATTGAATGTCGACGCATAAGCTTCCATACACAGACCACACTTGGGCACATCTGTGGTCTTATTACTACGTACGTAGAGATTGCACCACGCTGTACGTTTGTCACGACAAATGTATATATGCATACTGTCAAATGAGCTCGTGTTCAGGTACATACGTAGGTTTATATGTATTGTGTGTATATATTTGTGTCAGTAGGGGAAGGCATCCACGGTTTCAAGGGCTAATATGCGTCACCGGACGTGTGCAGCTGAAGTTTCGCTGCACAGATAACACGTTAGACTCTGCAGCGCTGTACCAACGTTGTGCGTATGTGCTGGCGTATGTACTGGCGTAAGGATGCGTATGAACTTGTATGTATATAGAAATACGTGTGCATAGCCACCAGCAAACACTCGCGGCAGTAGGGGCGGCATTCAACCCCGGCCCCGTGCAGCTGGTATATCATCACAGCCGTGAAATGGTACAGACTCCTGCGGAGCAATCTCCGCGTGGTACGTATGAGATGACAAATGTCTATCTCTATACATTTGAATGAACCTGTATGGATATATATAAGTAATATGCGTAGCCGTCAGCAGAGACACGCTGCAACACCAATACCCGGACGCGTGCAACTAGCAAGTAGCTATGGAGATACAACTGTACAGGCCCCTACGGGGGCACACTAACTGGCTCAAAGTCAAGGCTGACTCTCTTCTACGGAGACCGCCAAGGGACAATAGGAACAAGAACACAGAAAGGGGGGATAATGTGCAGACAACGACACAGGCGGAGGCGTACAACCACGTTTACTTGTACGAATACGTAGGCGTGCGCCCTGGGCATCCATCCACATACAGAAATACAGATGTATATGTCTAGTTCTGTGAAGTCTAGAAAACATAGCACCAGAGGGGGTAAGCGTAAAACGAGGAAAGGAAGGAGGTAGGTGACGAATAGGTGCGCGAACGCCTAAGCGAGGCGAGCCGCAGAGGAGCAGTGCAAGACTCAAAAGGCTAGCGCCAGTGCGCATTTATTGGCGGGTACACGTACGCGTATCGGTGAGGTAGAGCCATGCCTACACAAAGAGAGCATGCACGTAAACGTGCGCGGTCGGATTCGCCGCATGTTCTAGCACGTGCGAACCGCCACTAAAACAGCGTCTGCCAACAGAGGGCCTGTGCAGCCACGTATCCGGCCCATGTAGACACACACCAGGGCCGTGTGGTCAAACGTAATCACAGAGGTTAGGTACAGTGGCCTGCGCTGTGGACTCGCTTTTATGACCGTACGCGCACAAAGAGTGAGAATGAAACTTCGATGCCAACAGACAGTTGCGCAAGTGCGTGACTAGCCCATATATGGAGACATCACGGAGGTTACGACAAACGTACCGAAAGACGTTGTATATGTAGGCGTGCGCACTGGGCCTGCTCAGCTGGTCATGCACCTACGAATAGGCTAGCAAACGAGCGCGTGCTGAAAGAAGAATGAACAGCTACAGCTGAACACGTGGGTTTGCTGACACGCGTGTAACGGCTCGTGAAAAATAAGCGCGACACGAACAATTTGTCATTTCGCCCGCTACCGGACAGCTGCTGACCTACAGCGTCACTGGTGTGATGTATATGTGCTCAAAGGTGTGGGCGGCTGCTCCATTCAAAGAAAAATCATCCTTACCAGGAAGATACATGCAGCAACATACAGTCAGATACACGCAGTAGCACACACTCTGTCGTATGCGAGGGATACTGTCAGAACGTAGGTGCGTAGAGCCAGGACATCATGGATGGTGACCATAGGCCTGTACACATGGAGGACGAGGCAGCATGACGCAGCCCCCTACCGTTGTCAAGGTAGCGACACGTAGGTAGCGACACTTTCAAGGGGTGAACATTCCGACGACGGGTGTGCTTACTAGAATGGATCACGTCTTGTTGCGTTTTCTCAAGTAGAATCGGATTTTTGTCGCGACCCAGGAAACGAAAGAACTGAATGGGCCGACGGACTGGAGACGCACATCCCTACGTCCTGTTGTGGGCACTTGCGTCCGCAAACAGACGTGGCTATATGCGCACCTCATTAAGGCGCTATACTATATATATATATGCCTGGAGAAGATGTCAACTCAACTACGCACGGTGTACATTATGAAGCATATACACAGATAAAGTAACTGTGAACTGAAGATGCACGCCAACACCCGTACGACTATATATACGTATATATATATATATATATATATATATATATATATGTCTCAAAAGAGCGCGGGAGGGTTTCCTTTCGTGCACAAAACGTCGTTTTCTTTCTCGATCAAGCATATGCAAAGAACAATGGCAGACACGTGGACCTGTACCAGGCACGCTACCGTGTACGCGCGTCTGTACGTGAACCTGCATTTTGTCAGCAGGTACAAAGAACCAAGTGCCCCTCTGATAGTAGGTACCTAAGAAAGGAATGAAGTGGATCCAAAAGTCATTTGCAGGCAAGAACAAAAACAGAGACGGGAAACGCTTGAGTTTCTCCCAAAGTGTGGCGTCAGTAAGCTCCAGCGCTGTCTTCTCTGCGTAGTCTTTTGCCGGGAGAATTCCGTCCGATCCAATCAATCCCTGTGCCTGCGGCATCGCACATTCAAATACATGTATACACATCTGCAAAATATATATATATATATACGATTTGCTTGCATAGAGGCATGCCTTCGTTGCTTCGGCAAAATACCCAACAGAAGGTTGCTACGGGGATCGGGAGAAGGGAGAGACGGAGAAGCACGAGCATGCACAAAGGAGTCTGTGCACAGGGGACCCGTGGGGACTGGAACGAGTATGACAGCGAGTAGAGGAATCAACAGAGTCCACGAAGAATAGAACTGAAAAGCTTCTTGCGGGCACTTTCTTAGAGCACCTGCCGTACCCGATTGCGGGTGTGCACAGGCGTGCTGTCTGGAGAAGGGGGATAGGATACCAATAGAGAAATGGTAAAGTAGTGCAGGGACTAGTAACTGGGGTGAGTCGATCATTGAAGCGCTATAGGCTCTTACATACACCTGGTCGTGTACACTTCCTGTTGGGTGCATCAGCGCAGCGTCTGAAGGAATAGACAGCGTTTGATCCTTTGCGTGTACAGCGGCAGCTCCACCACGACTGCCCGACAGGGCTGCTCCCGCCAAGGACCTGGACGATTTCGCTTCTCTCTTCCACGTGTGGCACAGTACGAGATATCCAGTGCAAACGCACGTGGTGGAACCGTACGTCTCCAGCGCTTCTAGCAGCAGATCTCCAAACGTATATGTAGGTCTACAGAGAGGAGAAAAAGACGCGCACGTATGCTTCTTCATAATCGATAACGCGGCCATGTGCGTATGCGCCGGCCCCGTCGATTCAGGCTGCTGCCCGAACACAGCATCAGGAGAGGTCTACTGGAGCTGAAGGAACGTTTGCCTTCGCCGTTTGTATCTTGATTCTAGACCTCGACGCATCGCTCCTCCGACTGCATCGTACTATTCTTTACAGAACTCTAAGAGCAGGTAGGCCGCTTACAAATTCACGCTATGCAGCGCTCAGCTCCGAAAGCAGTAAAGCCCTGACAAGTTCACGAGTGCGCATTGAGAAAAAAAAGCGAAAGCATGTCAAACACCCACCGGCGTCGCGCACCAAAGCAGCGCTAACCAGTCCACACTTATCCTCCGCTCATTCTCACAGTGTGCTCGTACACGTAGGCGGCGCCCGCCCAGAAAGCGGTTTTCGTTGCAGGTGTAACGCCCCACTCAATGCACAGTTTTGAATATGATACAGCCCAAGGCAGTAATCATTCTGTGCGCGGTGAGGTCGCTAGTGTCGTCTCTCTGAAGCCCCTGCCCACGGATGAGTCACCTGGTTGCACAGGCGCTTATTTCGGGATTGGCGGCGAGGGACGAGTGTTTTCTTCGGACCCCACAAAACTAGGTTAGCCTACCGTCGTCACGTTGTACCTAATACACGAACGCGGAGCAGGCTCTGGCTTGGAGACACAAACATTTGTGGTGTATATGCATCGTTTATTGCCTAGGAGAGGCGGAGATGGGCAGATCTCTTCCCTCCCCTCACTGGAGCGTCCCGAAAGATGTTGTTTGGCCTTGTGCAGGAGACGCGCAGACTCACCACGAAAGCCGCTCTCCGCTAACGCACAGGGATACGAAGCAGGGCGAATTCACAGACACAACACGTGTGCGCGGAATTACCGCCTGTGCGTCAAGAGGGAGCCCTGGGCTCCCTGCCCATGACTAGAGAACCGTTGTGTCGAGTGCCGTGCTGTAATATCTAGTTAAAAATGACGCACACGCACAGGGCCGTTTGGTGGGCGACAGCGCGCATTCACAATTGCCGCCCACCGGCATTTGCTCCTGCTAAGGGAAGACAGGCGATGAAAAAGGGTCTCTTGCACCAGTTGGAGACCACCGTTGTCCAGTACAAGAGTAATGAGGAGACGAAAGTGATGTTCAGTCGTTACGCACGTCGTTCAACGGCTTCTAGACTGGGTGAAACAAGTGGGCACGTCAAGGTTGCCTCGGCAGCGAAGACGGGAAACTGGGCGCGAAGCACTGACAAGGATAAGAATAAGACACTTCAACACCAGAAGATGTTGCTCTGCAGCCCTATGTGGAGACGTGAGATATGCTGCATTCTGAGCACATCATATCATGGCCGCACGCTACGCCGTGATCCGCCCGCGCTTGTTTCTAAACAGAGCGAAAGCTGTCTTCTTCGTATGTGTCTGTGTGTTACATTCCACCAACCTGGTTGAAGGAGACGAGGAACGCAAAAAAGTAGACGCAGCCCAGCGCTCGTAAAAACACAATTCTGCTGAGCCAGTAAGTGCTTTTCATCGCAGTATACGCGGTCGGATCCACTTCTCTTCTCTCTTGCCGGCAAGACCAGAATACATCCAGCCTCTCGATCAGGATGCGATACCATCGCTTCCAGACGCGCGGTTTGCACTCCGCCTTTGTCTGCTGCGCCGCGCCACGCGGCGACAACATAATCTCTTTGAAACGGTTGTCTGCGCCACCGGCGGCATCTGGAGCGGATAGGCGAAGAGGTGTCTCGCCCTCGGTTGTGGCTCCTTCAGCAGCAGGAGGTGTTTCAGGTGGTGCGGCTGTTGCAGGAGCAGAACTCGCTGCTTCACCTTCAGCAGCAGGGGCTGCCATCGAGTGGTGGGCAAGACGAGAAGCAGTCTCGATTAATTCCGCAGAAAAGCAAGTATGCTTCTCACAGATGCCTCGTCTCCCTCCCCAGCCTTCTAGGGAAAAGCGCAAAAACTACACCATGCGGACGTGCTGCACGGCTGCGCAGGCGCGTACAAGTATGTGGCCTCACAGACTGTACGTGTAGAGCGTGTGCCCGCTCACGGCAGGCTCACATATATTTAGAGGTGTACATCTGGCCGCCCCGTCCGAGAGACCGTCATGTGTTCTTCGCTCCTATGACAGTGCGTTTACTATCTCGGCCGGTATGACTCTTCTACAGAACTGACGGACTCTTCCTGCGGCTTTCGGTGCTTCGTCGAAGATCCGCGACGTTTACGGCGTGGCAGACTTCCGTGACTACGTAGGCGAGATGCTGCGTGACGCACTTGTGTTGAGCACTTCACCGACCGGTTCAAAACACGAGCATGGAACTCGTCTTCCTTCTTTCCGTCTCGCTGCCCTGATGCTCAAGCCAGTCAGCAAAGACTCTGACTGCATCTTCATCCACGGCCCAGCAAACCCTTCTCGGCGAGTACCGACGGCCCCTTTGAAAAATTCCGCCTGTGGCTCTAGTAGATTTTCCCTGAGTTCTATGCACCACTGTCGTTCGACTGCAGCGCTCCGTGCCAGGGACGATTGATCGAGTAGTTAGGCCTTTTCTTCGTGAATTACAAGATTCAGTTCAGAGCGGATGTCTTTCGAAGCATCGTCAGACACACGACCACGTTTGTAGTACAAAGGAGTCGGCTGCACGTAGACACAGGAAACGCATATACTTTATGAGACCCGTTTCTGCAAAGGTTGAACCGTATTCGTACGTGCTAATGGAACTGTCGGGACGCAGACCATTATTCACATGTAGATGTGTACAGACAAAAGGAAAGCTACGCACACAACGCCGCACTTTTTCTGACATGGCTTCGCTAGGCCGAGGTGCGACCTGCCTGTGACAACAGAAAGGGGAACCGCGTGTCTCGCAAGTAGCATCTTTGGTTATCACTCTTGCCACGTCTCCATGAGGTCGTCTTCCCGGTGCGTGTGCAGCACCTGCGGACGCATGCTGCTTAGTGAGCCTACGTAGCGCAGACGGAGGCGTGTGTATTCATTGTCTGGGCGTCCGTGCTCGTACACAAGAGTGGAGAGCTAGCTTTTGCGGATAGGTATAGGCGTGTAGCTTCGCGCCGCTATACGTGTATGGAATTATACAGAGTGTTTAAAGAAGAGCTTTCCCGCAATTTGCTTAGATAAAACGGGGTAGCACGCTGTCGTACCACGGGGATCACGATGGCGTTCAGTCGTATGGCGCGTGCCGTAGACAGTGTTGGCGTCGCAGCTGCCCGTGGACCACAGTTTTACGTGAGATAGTCCTGACCCCTGCCCTGCGAAGAGGGAACCCTGCCTGCGCACAATTTTCTCTCTAGCAACGCTGCTCCACGCAGGGGGTTCTAGTGTGCGTATGCTAATGGGAACTCTAGGTGCGCAGATTGCGGCATGCTGAATGCATAGAAACGTACACGCACACTGAGGGCGTTCCGCGTACGTGTCTATGGCATTAAGCTGCGCGTAGCCTTCCTCAAGCCGATCACCTGACGCTAGCAAGTATGATAGCTTCTCGACTCCGCCCAGCTCTGCTCCCTAGCGGTGAGTCTTCAGATGGATGCGACCCTAGATACACGAGAGGCCGAATACGTACAAGCCTTTTAAAGGCCGTCTAGCCCCCCAGAAGGCGAGTCTGAAACTGCAGAAAGTGCCTAGTTTGAAAATGGCTTCCTTGATGCCGCCTCGGAATTGAAGCCACCTGCGTGACAGCGAGCACGGCCCCGCGGCAGAAGTGGAGGATATCCTTCATGTTGAAGGGACGGTTGGAGCACGATCTCACCCCGCGGACTCTCATTATCAGGATGGTATCATGATTAGCCTCAGATCGGACAGCCAGTCTCTTTGCAGAAGGTCGAAGCAGCACAGGCTGCTGAACACGCCACCGCTGCGGGCGCCTGGGCCATGGCGGATGCTGCCACCGCTGACGCCAGACACTCGCGCCGTGTCTACCCCTCAGCGGTAGTAGGGCACTCGCTCTTCACAGGCTGGTGTGCAGTGCAGCAGAGCTAGCATATTCTCAGAAGACAGAATTGAGCGGGTAGATCGAAAGCAACAGCGATGCCGGACAAGAAGCCGTTGGGTATAGTGTCCTTACTTCACCACACTGTTGCTCGTTTGGCAGCTGCCTGGGTGGTCTGCCGTCCGCGGATTCTTCCGTAGTGTTGCTGCAGCGGTCGCTGTGGGTCCAGGAGCTGGAGTAACGACCGCTTCGTCCGTGCGTATGCAGCTGCTCCTGGTGACGGTCTACTTGCGTCTACGTACGTAGCGGACGCGTCACCGCTTCATCGCCAAGCATATTTATTTCAGTTGAAGGCACTCTCGCCAACCTGTGCACTCGTCTACTTTAGGCTGAAGACACAGCGAAAAGTGATATATTAGGCCGTGGTGTTTAGCAAATAATGTACAGACGGACGTACAGACGTGTATGTGCGCGCGAAAATTTTTGGCAACATAGAGCAACACCGACGCTGTGCAACAGACGAAGACCTCTCCACGCATGCGGTTGAGGGCTCGTACGAGATCACGAATCCCTTCGTGACGTGCGTGTCTACGTCGGCGCCGTCGTTGCAGTGGACACGTAGCCAGCCTCGTACGTACATCTTTTCACGCAGCGGTACACGGGTCGACACACAACCTCGTGAGTTGGAATAGACATCTGAAGGTGGACAACAACGTCGGTTTTAGTATGTAAGTCTACGCACATGTGTACGCGGGTCAAGCGAGATTGTGCGCGTACGACCACAGCACATACTCACGCGTACCAGCGTGCGTGTGTAAGCCGATAGCTGGACATAAGTGTACCGAGGAAGTCGCCGCGCGAACGACTACAGCGGGATTGCAGGCCGAGGACGGCAACACACAAAGAACGGCAGCTCCACATGGACGGTAGCACGACCAGGCGCACTGTGGCCCTCAAGCAGACGAGCAAAAGCCGCAGAAATGTCCTCGTAGACTCTACCTTTAGAGTCTGAAGGTGAGAGATTTTCGTGATCATACGCCGGGGCAACAGCATGACCTCGTACTTCGCCCATGTGTGACCACAGGCGGGGGCTCACCTTTGTGCTCAGACGTGTGTCTGTGGTCATACTTACAAACACATGCAATCTTTCCGTATACATGTGTATGCCCACGTCAACGGCCGGGCAATGCGGACGCCGGGCGACCTGCGCGTTTGATGCTTAGGGTAACCGTCGCGTGTTCACGCACTGTTAAGGAAGGTGTTGTATTCTGAAATCCTAAATACGCTGCCGTCTGCGTGCGCGCTTGCTTCCTGTCGTCCAGAAACGTATATACGCGTTCGCCCACGTTGTATCACTGGGCTATCATTGAATCTGTTTACGCCACGTATACGCGCATCTGTCGACGCTGTAGCACTGGTTTATCGGTGTATCTAGCTGCACCAATATTCAAAGTCGGCACACAGTCGTACATTGGCAGCGTATGAGTTTCCTGGCTATTTATCCGCCGCCTCCGCGGGGGCCTGCCTTTCACCTATATTTCTCCGCCCGTCTGCCTCAATATGAAGGACGATACTTTGGCTGAAGCACGGCGCGAGTTTTACCGTGGCGACCTGCGCGTCGGTATCCCCAACCCGAGCGTGCGTGTGTGTCCCCCTGCTGTGTACGGCAGAGGTGGTGCCGGACATGCATAACTAGCATCCGTGCGCTGCTGCTCTGTGCATAAGTAACGAGGACTCGTGCGCTGGTTCCCTGTGCATAAAAGGGAGCACGCAGCTGAATGCCACATGCCGCAACGTAGTAAGAGTAGAGATCGCTGGGAGGAGGTAGCGTTCTCCGTACGGTATGCACGAGTCTGCTGCCGCAGCACAGGCAGTGTGCCCCGGCAGCCTACTTTGCCAGCTCCTCGTCGGCTTTGCTGCGTGGGAAGAAGCGATAAAAGAGCCCCAGCAGACGTATCCACTGTCTTGCTGTCCACTGCTGCACGAGGAGTTGAAGTACGGGGAGCGGAGTACAGGGTGAACGCGGGCTGACACACAAAGCGCTTTAAAAGGGGTTAGAAAGAATTGGCCTTACGTGTTCCAAGGCCTTGTCCGCCAGGGCGGCATCTGAATTCGCCGAAGGAAAGCATCCGTAGCAACGAATAAGTCGCAACGCGAAGAACAACAACGGTGTTTTACTATCAGCCTCACCGTGGCGCTACGTGTAGCTGCCGGATCATATTACCGATGCTGCGAGTCGCAGGAAGCAGCTTTCACGGGAGTAGGACGGCACTCCCAGAGACAAAGCTGATCTGTCAGCGCCAACACCTTTTTGCTGGACGCAGGCTGCGAGTCGTGACCGCCCGAAGAAGAAGTGGGCCTGTAGTAGCATCCGCGTCCCCAGCAGCAGAAGGAGAGACATCTGCGGCGATGAGGTAGGCGCCACTACCAGTAGAGCAGCCTTCGCGTCCACCAGCCCCTGCCGACCCCACACGCTCGCGGCCTCAGGATGCCTCGCCGTGAGTCGCTGCCCTGCAGCCCAGCCTCTCTGCCCCAGGGGCGCGTCCGTGGAGGCGTCCATGGATATGCCTAAAATAGGAACCGCCTTCGCATACACAGGGGCGTACGCGTGTAAGTGGCGTGTAGGTAGGCGGCACAGTTGTGGCCGCGGCTGTCAAACACGTCCATACACTTACGGGTATATGTGTAGCTTCCTAGTGTGAGTAAGTGTTCACTGCATAGTTCCTTTACGCATACCCGGGAGTGCACGTGAAATTCGACTGTACGGCGTTGGTACGCGTGCGTGTGTAGGTGCTTGTATGTGTACGGCAGCGCCGGCGAGCCGAGCTGCAAAATTAAGAGGCGCATAACGTTGTGTTGAAAGGCAGCTGCTCTGCACTCTGAACGCCCTCACCGATACAGATGCAGGGCCGGTATTGAACATGCGCCTTTTGCGTTGTAACTAGGGGTGTGCTGGTAGCACTTAACCTCATGTGTTGATACACACCAAGATCGTTCTTCGACGTATGGCGCCTCCTTCCCCCCAGCAGCCTTGGCACAGAATAGCAGGTTCAGTTGGTGCCTCCTCTAACGGAAAAGCGCGGGAGCGTAGAGGTGCACGCAACTCTTCTCCCGGGCTGTGGCTGCGCCACAAACTCATTCCATGGCCTGCGGCAGCGACTGCGGTTTCATAGCCTGCAGCGCGTGCTGATACACGCGAGTAGGCACGGTGCACGTGACTACACGATGGCTTGCACCTCAAAAGCCTGTTGTGCACAAGCACGCGTCCCAGTGATCGTTTACGTAGGTTCCGCATATACCTCTGCGTGGTTTCCAAAATAGCCTGTGCACGCTCCCTGCAAAGTGCAGATAATTGCAGGCAGCTCCATCTGAACGCACGCAGCCAATTAGCAGTAGAGGGCAGGAGGGGATAGTGTGATGCCGAAGCATGACTGTTTGCACATATACGTGTGTATTGATCCGCATGCGTGCGCTTTTGCTTGCGACACTCGCTCTCCATAGGGTGCGGACAGCAAAATTATTCAAACGTTTACCGAGAGCGCACCCCGGCAGAACAGCTGTGAGAGGTGGGTAGCGCGAGCAAACTGGAGCCCGACTGAAATGCATGCTCCAAGTCGGTGTATCCGAGTGCACGGTGGAAATGGGCGTACACGTCGCCAAGCGCTGAGCGTGTATAGAACAAACATGACTTTACGCGGTGCGGTACGTTCAGGCGGCTCGTGGCTCGAAAATGTACTTAGACGAGAAGTCGCGTCCGCTACAACCGCGGGCCGCTGCGGCTGCCAACCGTCTATTTCGTTACACTGGCGGGTTCAACTGGACGTCGCCTTCCACTCGAGTTTGCGTCAGCGTAGGCTGGGTACAGGAAGAAACCTCTAGACATATGTCAATATCAATCTATGCTCAGTCGTCTCAACTCTGGTCGACTTCACGTGCACAGCCGCGCTCAGGACGGCGCGGGCCGCGTGGCCAGAAGCGCCGATAGCTGCTGCAGTCGGTTGCCAGAGCCCGTCTGAAACAGTCTAGGCCATGAGAGCCCGCAGGAATCACAGCTGTACAGCCGTCCCGGTGGGAGGAGCCTACTTTGGGGCGGGTGTCAAAGCCAAACCTCTGCAGACGGTTGTCGCAGGCGCTGTAAGTCGAGTCTTGACTCGTTCAGGACAGTGGAAAGGAGCGTGCAGCACGAGCACGGACAAGCACCTGGACGAACGCAAGGGGTATTTTTCGAGAGACGACAGTTCGCCCCCCCCCCTTTCGCCGCTCTCTAGTTCTGTGCCCGTGTGTTTAGCACGTGAGAGACACACCCGCCGACATAACGAGTCACCACTCGCTGACTCACGACTTTAGCGGCCTGCACATCCGCAATACATCGAGACACCGTCTCCAACGCGATAGCAACGGTCTCTCCTCTGCCGAAATGTTCTCTTCAGCGCCATGGGTTTTTTTCACGCTTACTGCCGGTCTAGCTTCTTCCAACCAGGTAAGAAACTCCCATCGGCTCTGAAACTGGTGCGGCGCCTTCCGCTCGGTACGTCCATTCGCGCGCGCGCGGCAGAGAGACAAACGCGCATACGCGTGCTGCAGTTCTTCGCCCAAAAGTTGAGGAGTGATCCTCAAGGCCGCCACACCAAAACGGCGCTGGATTGTACCCCTTCGAACCGATCATCGCAGCAAGTTCCAGATGAGTGGAACTCACGGGCTTTATCGTGCCCGGGTTTCGCCGATCCGGCGGCAAAGCGCAAGTGCTTTGGGTGCCACGTGTGTCGCCAGGCCCAGAGGCGGAGCAGCCGCTGCTCCTGTCGTGCAAATGTCCCCAGTCGCGCATGACGACTTCCATGCAGCGTGCACGCTAACGTGGACCTCTGGGCAGATAATTCTCTGGCGGGATCACAGCATAGCCTCCCCCGTTAACACCGGCGACCGCAAGGTACCAGCAGCTGGGACGAATCTCACGTCTGCTCAGTGATGCCACTTGTGCGCATACGTGGGAAAATCTGTGCGTGGAGCCTGGTTCGAAGCCGGCTACACCCGTCGGCGGGATCACTTCCTGTGAAATAGAGACCTGATGTCGGGACCTCTTCCACTACGATGCCGTACTTGCCTGCTGGCCGTGTTCGGGTCCTGAACCGCGGAACTGATGTATATTTCGGGTCATTCCCCCTCGTAGCGCCTCTGCTGCCGAAGAGGCGTATACTGGCTGCTTCGTCTGCAGTTCCTGATCTGAGCACACTAGCACGGCCGGTTGGCATTTGCATGCGTTATGAATGCTTCTCCTGGTATTTCTTCTCGTGAAGCGGCACGTATGCAGCCATCTGTGTGTAGGGGCACACCACACGCGCTCGCAGGATGCAGCTTTAAGGTCGGCACGCGAACGAGAACCACTCCCTAAACCCTCAAAATGTGCCATCTTAGGCGGTGCCGTGTGCTCACTTCCGTCAAAGTGCTCGAAGCTGTCGCCTTCAACAAGCGTGTAACCCATTATTCTGCTGGGTGCCATGCTGCCGGCCGCTGCCCTTGCGACGCTTTCAGTCAGCCACGCGTGGCGGCGCCCTGACGTCAGATCTGAGGCCGCGGCGGGAGCCCTTCAATACCGACCAGTCTGCGACAGCCACAGCGCTGCACAGTGGCTCCGCCGCTACATATGCACTTCTAGCCAAGCGTAAAAATCAACAAAAGGTGTTCCCGTCGCACGTGCCCCCGCCCCGCACGGGTACGAGACGTTTAACACGGTCTCGTGAGAACAGAGAGATTTTTCTTGCAAGTCTTTACCTTTAATTACGAAGTAGGTAGACCATAACGACAGCTGGCAGTTCACAGGCGAAGCGGTAGGGCGTGAGCGGCCGGAAGATCCATACGCAAAGGTGCGGAAAACACGGTGAGCGCTCGTGTATTTCAGGCAACGTCACTTTGAGCCTCAGGGCGCAGCGCGCCTCTCAAGGGGGTCGCGCCACGGTGGTATCGTCATGCGAGTTTAAAATGAGGTACCTAAGCAAAAGCGCGAGCGCCAGTCACGTGCGTGCTCCATAGGGAGTGTGTAGAGTGACATCAGTCCCAGTACTAAGGAGAGTTGGTCTGGTCAGCGGCGCGGGTATGATCACCGCGCGCACGTTACGGGGGGAAGGACGTTACCGGTGTCCACAGGTGCTTTGCTGCCCCATTATTCTGGGTGAGGGTGCCCGCTGGGATAATGGATTCTCTGTCTCGTCTCTTCGTGGAAGCGACAGGCCGGCTCCTCTGCTGGCTTAGGCCTTCCTCTGTGAAGCCACTTTTCGACGAAAAAGCTTCCAGCCTCGCATACCTGCAAGTGCCTTCTTCGTTGAGGGCTCCGCCTTACTACAGTACCACTCAGGGATATGGATGTCGTTGTCGGCGACCAACCACCACGTACTTTGAACTAGCAAGGAAACCGGTGCTGTATCATATGCATCCTTTTCCGTCTTCCAGCGCCTGTCTCTGCGGGAAGCCGGAGCCGCTGCTTGCGGGTTACAAGGGCAAAGAATTGCAGGCCCGGCCAATTGCTTCAACGACGCCTGTCGCCGAATTTTTCGCAAACCAGCAATTGTCGACCTTTCAAGAGTTCTCTGCAGGTCTAAGAGCCTACGAGAAAGGTCACTTTCTCGAAAGCAGTCAGCTGTTCCACAGACTGTATGATTTAGTCAAGCAAATTAATCAGGCTAGGCACTGCTTTAGTACAGACACCACGCTGCTTTTATGTGGCTGCCTGGCTGCCTCGTTGTTCCGACAAGGCGCGTACGCACGAGCGGAGCAGATTAGTAAGGAAATGCTAACGAAAATCCATCTGCAGATACGGTCAGCTCCTGACCAGCTATCGGGCCTCAAAGCTTACGGAGCTTTCGCGACCATAGCCGCAGCATCGGCAGCGTTTGAGTGCGAGGCACAGAGGTCTCAAAGGCATGCAGCAGATAGCAGTGATCCCGATGCATATCGCGAGACAGCCAGAGAGCGGACGCCGCGAGAAGAAGGAGAAGTACAAGAAGAAGAAGAAGAAACATTTTTGCCCGCTAGAAGGGCGAAGCTGTGCCTGAGTTCTGCCATGCGTAGGCAGCAGCCGGAGCCCGTGTTGTGCAGCCGGCGAGAATGCATCTGTACGTGGGAGCTTCAGATCCTGGTGGATTGTTTCGACGGGCTCAGAGCACTCCCCCCGTCGGGCGAGAAGAAGACAAAACGCGACCGCGTTCACACGGAAGTGCGTGGCGTGCTGCGTGACTTCTTGATGCTTGTAGAAGCTTACAATGCTTTTGTCGTTCGGGTGTACACCCTGTTAAACCTCGACGCAGCGGATTGCCAGTCCTTAGCGAAGCGGCATAAAGATATGAGCTACGGCTGTCTCGCTACTGCAGAGAGCTTGTTGACTGATGCAGCTGCGGTGCTGGAGCGCTTTGAATTGGAGAAGCGACAGGGCAAGCCGCCTCTGGGCTTTGGGACGGCCTTACACGAAGACTCTGCTGCAACATATCCACCGACACACGGAGCAGAGAGGTGCGCCAGCCAGTCCAACGATCACGCGGTGGCCAGTCTCTCCGAGAAGATCGTGGAGGACGAATACGCCGCAAAGATTTTGGTGGGGTTGCTTAGGGTGTTCAGGGTGTCGGGTCCTGCCTAATTCGCTTGTCCACAAGAGAGACTCCAGATTCTTTTTACTGTTTTTTTAGCGACGAGGGCAAGGATATTGTTTCTATGGGGCAAGCAGCTTTGAAGAAAGGTTTAGAAGTGTGCAAAAAGCACGCTGAGATACAGTGTAGACCCGTCAAGGGAGCAATGCTTGCAGAACTCGCTACTTCTTTCCGTTGCGCAGGAAATGCTGTGGTTAGTGAAGGGCTATTCTGTTCTGCTTTGGATGAGTTTGCCGCCTTAACTGGTCTGCGACTGGACCTCTTGTTAGAAGCTGCAGCTGAGGAGGTACCTCAAGCACAAAAGCAACATCCTGTTGATAACATCTCGGCTCTACCGTACCAGCAACGCACCGGGGACGACAACAGACGTGAACCACTAACGCTGAGTGCGTATACGCTGACCTACGCCGATAGGTTTGATTATGGGTCAGCCATGTTACAGTACAGTTTTCTGCTTACCAAATGGGAGGGAAGAGAGTTTGAGGCACAGCGGATGAGAACAGCGGCGGCAGAGCTTTTGCAAATTTTCTACACTGTTTCAACCGCAGAGAGTAGAAGGTGCATGCTGGAAAGCTGGTTACTTTCCCTTCTGTGGAAACCTCCTGTCAACCTAGCTCTGTGCCTCACAGCGGGCTTGCTTGGGAAGTCCTCACGGACTGAGAAGGAGACTCAGCCCGCGACCGCCGGAGACGCTCTCTCTCAAGCAAGGCGCAGGGCCTAGTGAACGCCACTGATAGGTGGCTATCACCTGTCAAAGTTGTGTGCGGCAGGTTCAAACGCGTCCTGACGAGTTAAACAAAAAGTGAGTGCACTTTAAGCATGAGGCCTTTGTGTTTCCCGTGAAGCTAAGATGCGCATTACACGTCAAGCCACTCCTCCTACGGCCGATGGTGTACGCCTGCCGGATCCGAGATAAATCTCCGATACTCAACACAACCATGAAAGCCCACAATGTACGTGGTTGAGGCCGTCTCCCCACTTATATGATACTGCAGGGCAATGGTACAAAATGTTCAAAGGTTTGTAATGGCTGTGAGTTGTCAGCTGCAACGCTTCGATCATCTCATAATCTGCTTTGCCTCCAACTGTGGCATGACAGGAAAGGTGTCCGGCAGTGGGGGCGCTTTCGGCATAGGGACCTGTCCACGTAAGAGGATGCACGCGCGCCGATGATTGTACACGTGAAAAGGCGACTTCACGCTGCTTTGTCGCACACAGTGCTGCTTTTGCAGCGAAGAGGCAGTCCCTCGGCGCCGCGCGCTCACAGGACACTTCATAGCCGTACGGCTGAAGTGACATTACGCCACCTCTCCCTCAGCTGCTGTACCCAAGGACGACGTCGGCTGCAGTACTGCATCAACAACGTGGGAAAATGTGAAAAAACGTAGACATTAGGGGCGCCCGGGACATTGCTGTTGCTGCTGCAGTAACGCTACTTTCCGCGGTTGGTCGTCCGTCTATTCCTGAGAACACAGGAGCTCTACTTATGAAGGAGCCACTTATACAGGGTGGAGCGTGGGCCGGTGAACAATGACAGCAGAAGCGGCAGCAGAAGTCCCAGCGACAGCGTGGTCGGGATGCAACTATATGTGTCACAGCGAGGTCATCGGTGGAAGAGCCGGGCACAAAAGCGGGCCTACAACCGTTGCCTGCGTAATCAGCCGGTCACACAGTCATATTGACGAGACACCTACGCCTTGGGGCCACCGGGAGCGCAGTGCTACGCCTAACTCGCCTGTATGCACCGGTGCACGCCAGGTCGATAGCGTTCAACTCATACGCTGTGAAAGAGCGAGGTGACCAGCTCCATTCAGGACACGGCATACTGCTTATGTGCAGTGTACAGGATGTCCACCGAGGCGCGCTGTAGCATGGTTTTGATGTTACGGGAGTCGTTAGGAAGAAGCTACATACCAGAAACCTAGCTGTATTTCTACGGAAATTTTCAGAGTCGAAGTGCAATTCTGTAATTCAACGTGTCTGTCGAGAAGGCAGTAGAAAAAAAATTGACAGGGGTAGTCTGTGTGCTCACGCGCACGTCTGCTCAGCTTTTGGTTTCATTACCGTGAAAGCCCCGCTTGCGCCTGATGCTTTCCGTGGCTCCCGCGGAACCTGAGAGTATATCCTTCGTGACGTGCGACTCCTTATCCTAGGGCGCATAGAATTGTCCTCTATTTCACTATTTGAGGCGCTGTCTGCACCGCAGAACTACGAATGTGCGAGAACTGCTTACGCTATCACCGCCAGCCCGGAAGGCTCCAGGGGACGGGGCTGTGGAAGCAGAAGGCTTTTTGGCTTCTGATGTTCAGTCAGCCCAGCACGTCAGACCCTGCAGCCCTGCAGCTCATTCTTCATAAAAGCGTGAACGTTTTCCCCAAATAAGCGCTGTACCCCAGTAATCTTCAGCAAAAATGAACCGCCTTCGGCATACTCCCGTTTTCAAGGGTTGCGTACCATCGCAGAGGCATGCGCTGCGAACACGTACATGTTCTACGTAAACCGCAAACGCGTATAGAGGCAGGTGGTCCTATACGTTTTATGGGCGTGTGGACTGTGCCGAGAACATCTACAGGTCGATATTCTGGTATGCGCACGTGCAGTGGTCAAGGACACTTGGGCACGCCGCCACTTCGCGTTGCATACGTGGAGACTGACGCGGCCCACATGCATTTTGTAACCAGCAGCTTCCTGCGTCCGCCGTCTGTTTCGTCATGCCGCCCGTGTCATTCTGGCTGGTTGCGCTGGCCGCCGCTAGTCTCCTCCCAGCTCGTGGACGGGCAGCAAGTTCGGACTCCTCTCTGTTACAGCGATTTTCTCTGGAGGAAAAAGTAGAAGCGGTGCGAAACATCGTTAGCCTTCTCAGCATAAAAGCTGCGTTACTCTCTGCACGAGCTGGCAGGGATGCAGCTATCCAGAGCAGAGAGGAGGCGGGGGAGGCACTGACAAGGTACAGACAGGAGGAGAATGAGCTAGAGAGCATGTTTTTGAGGGCAGTAGACTGCCAGCTCGGGTTGGAACCGGCGGGCGTCTGTGACGCCGACGGGGGCGTCGAGTACGCTGGCAGCGAAGGCGCAGCAGCAAAAACGCGGCTGAGTGATGCAGACGCAGAGACTTTATCCGAGGCAGTGTCGCCTGTCACCGAATACACAGCCGCTGCAGCGGAGTCAAGGAGACCGGTCTCGGCGGACAGGGGCGGTGACCCGCACGCTTCTCCTAGTGTATCTCTTGATTTGAAAACCTGGTGGACAGTGTCTGCTCTTCAAGGTGGTGAGGAAGACCTTTTGAGTGATACAGAACTGCTGGCGTACCTAGGAAGGAAAGCTGGAGTCGTGGCACGAGATTTTTTGAAGGCGGCCGTGGCTGGCCGTCTGCTCGACCCCAGCAGCAAAATACCTGCCGGAGACTTCGAAGAGGAGAAACTGGCTGAAGTGGTTCGACTTGCTGGTAAATTTCTTGGTTTTTTACAAGTTGATGTAACCCCGAATACAGTAAGCGTGGACGCACAAGCCCGCGCAGACGCGGTCCGCCGTTTGAAGACCAAGGAACAAGAAAGCTGCACCCCAGATGTGCACCGGGACTGCAGGTGTAAAAGCCACAAAGACAAGAAGTGTGGCCTCAAGGCGAAATGCAAAATGCGTGTAGAAACTAGGGACAAAGCTTGCTGTTCAAAAGACAGGTGTGACTCCAAGCCCGGGAAGGGCAAAGCTGGATCAAAGAAGAAATGTGGGAAGCATTGCCCCACGGCCTACGACGAGAGCCTCGTAGTTGTTCCACCGGCCCCTATAACGTCGACTGCCCTGCCTCTCTACTCATCATACCCTGTGCTGATTCAGCCTCAGCTGATCTCACTACCAGCGCCGGCGCCGGGCATTCCCATCATCTACGGGTTCAGCAACGCGGGTACAGCGGCGGCAATAACTACAGAAGCTACGCCCTTCTACCACGACGGCCTTCTGTTGTACCCCCTTGCACATGGAGCCGAGGGAAGTAGTTACCAGTTGAACGTAAATGGGATCGACCACAACATCGGGCCCTTCACTTCTGCTGGGCTCGGTGCGGCGGTTGCTCTCTCAGGGGATGCCAATTCTGCACAGGCATTGCGTAGCAACGAGCCGGTACCGCGGTTTACATCCCCAGCCAGAGGTTTTATTCTGCAAGGGCTTCCGCCTCTGATTCTCGGGCCGATTCAAGCCTTAAACGCCCAGGTTCAGCAGAGTCCTCTCCTGTCTCCGCTCCAACGAAGTGCGCTCGGAAGGTATTTATTCAATGCAGAGGATGCGCTGCACTACGAAGAGCTGAAGAATTTCAACATGACCAGGGCCGATCTGCCGTAGTCATCAACACTTCGGCTGTCGCATGCCTACGAAGAGCCGTAAGGTGATGGAACTGTAGAATCTCCCTGTGCCACGGAGGCCCTAAATGCCATCCAGTGAACAATGATAAGGCCACACAGCCAAACACGCGATGCTCACTTTCGTGTCTGTACAAAGGTGCGCAGCGCTTGCGCCACAGTTTTGGACAACCTATGCAGGGGATGGACTATGACGCGCTCCCACGCCAAAACGACCCTGACAACTTCATTGTAGCTGTATGAGTATTCTCACATGCGCCTGATGCTAGCGTAGGACCGCGCTTCACGGCGACAGAGGCAGGCTCAGCGCCGCCATGCAACACATCGCAACAGGCCACACGCGTGGCGAAGCGACAGATCTATGCGTTCTGTCGGGAGCGAAACAGCTTCAGTGTTTTGATTCGAAAGAGTTGTGCTCGGGGCCCTCAGAGACGGAGACTTTCTTTCTGCGGATCCTCTGCTTTGTTTTGTGAACGCAGGCGCGTACTTCGCACTCCCTGGGTTCCGCCTTGTACTACGTAGCCACAGGTTCAGGCGTGGCTGTGCCAAAGCCATGTCTGTTCTGACGGGAGCGGAGTGGCTTCAGTGTTTTGACATTCAAAAGCTTCTTTGCTGGAGCCCTCAGGGACGAAGACGCCCATTCCGCGACTCCTTCTCTTCGTGTGCTGAAAGCAGGTGCTTACTTCGCGCTCACTGAATGCCGCCTTGTGATACGTAGCATTAGGTTACAGGCGTGGCTGTGCGACCGACGTGTCCGTTCTGACAGGAGCACAGCAGCATCAGTGTTTTCATATCTGAAAGCTTTCTGGCTGGCGCCCGCAGCGACGAAAACTCGCATTTTGCGAATTCTTTCCCTGGCTTGCCAAGAGCAGGCGCTTACGTTGTGCTCAGTGAGCGCCACCTTACATACCAGTAGGCTACAGGCGTGGCTACGTCACAGACGTATCCGTTCTGACGGGAGCCGGACAGCTTCAGTGTTTTTATATTAGAAAGCTATATGTGCTGGAGCCCTCAACAACGCAAACTTCCATTCTGCGTATTCTTCCCTTCATTTGCGGTAAGCAGGTGCTTATTTTGTGCTCACTGAGTGCCACCGTGTAACGCATAGCAATAGGCTACAGGCGTGGCTGTGCTACAGATATATGCGTTTTGACCGGAGCAGAACAGCTTCGATGGTCTGATATCCAAAAGCTTTCTGGCTGGAGCCCTGCGCGACGGAAACATTAATTCTGCGGAACGTCTGCTTCGTTTGCTGAAAGCGAGTGCCCACTTCGTGCTCACTGAGCGCCACTTCGTAATACGCAGTAATAGGCTACAGGCGTGACTGTGCAACAGACATAGGCGTCCTGACGGGAGCATAGCAGTTCTCAAGCGTGGATGATTTGAAACCTTCTGGCTGGAGCGCCCAGCGAGGGACACGTTCAACCGGCCAATATTTCGCTCGGGCGCCTATCTCGTGCACACTCTCCGACTCCTTGTATACACTCTGTAAAGCCTCCACTACACGTGCTGTCACGCCACTTCAGCTGCTACTACGTGCTTACTCCCCGACCGCTCGTTCCGGCTGGTTCTTCCCGCTGTCTATATGTGTAAAGCGTCCATTGTTCGTGCTGTCAACACTTCAGGTGCTTTCCTCGCGCGTACACTTTGGCTGCGCGTATCCGCTGTCTATACGGGGTCCGCTACTTCGGCGCTGGCACCGCAGCTCCGGTGCTTACTGCGAGCTCAGTCTCCGCCAGCTTGTTTCCGCTGTCTACAGCGTCCAGCACCCGCGGTGTCACAGCAGGTCAGGTGCTTACTCCGCGCGCGCGTTCTCCGATGCGTGTCCCTGCTGTCTATACGATGTATACGGCGTCCACCACTACGGTGTGTCGGGACTCCGCCTGGTCCGTACTGCTTCACTGTTCAGACGTATATACAATGCATATCGTTTTAGCGCAAACAAGCTTGGATGTTGAGGGGCAGACAAGTATAGTTTCACGCGCCTGCCGCAGGTTCCAGCTCCCAACGCTGAAGCGATCCATGCGAGTCTTGCGTGCTGCTTCAGCATCCCTGGGTAAACCGGGCAAGTGCAAACGACTTTAGCTGCTGTACGGCAGACACGTGCAGTGGTAGGCGCCTCCGGCACGTTCCGGCTCTCACCGCTGAAGCGATCCTTGAGGAGCTTGCGTCACTGGACGCTTCGTCACCTCAGCCAATGCAGAAGTCTGACAGATTAATGTAGCAGCGAAAGCACTCTTCTTAACTCGCGTACGTCCACCTGCATTCGCTTGGATTCTCTGTATGCACGCTGACGTCGCCGCCTTTATGGCGACCGGTCGCGTTACCTAAATATACAGCCCTGTGATACAAGCAGAGCATGTGGATATCTGCGTAAAATCCTACATGGAAAACCTGTACAAAGTGAAGCGAAGTACGTCGATACGGCACCTCGAGCTGCAGACCGACACAGCATCTTACCTCTGCCTGTACCCGTGCTTGACGAAGCAAGCCAGAAGACATTGTAGCGTTTCAAGTGTTACCTCTTCTACAGCCAGGGCTTCACATGTCACTATAAAGCTGGGCAGCTCGCACACGTCTCTTCAGGCCTTCGCGTATCTCGCAAGGGAAAAAGAAGTAAATGAAGAACTGCACGTGCACACGTCACACTACCTGCACGGAGCCACGAAAGTCGGCACACGCGTGCCTTGGCAGATGTATGTATTCGTGCCTGCGTGACACTACGTAGCTGGCCGAAGCCCGCGTGTTCAGTGCGAGCTGCGCGTCAATTCACACACGCAAGCTTCAACTCATTGCAGGTGAAAATCCGGTACACGAGTAGAAATAGGGCACCTGGCTTTGACGAGCTTTTCGTGGATGTCACTGGCACAGGCGGCGCTAAGGTAGAGCGCACTTCTACGCTAGTACAACCCTCGGAGTGTCTGACCCGTAAACGCTGCCGGCGCTCCAGAAACGATATATCATACATATGTGCGGGCGTCGAACATCAGTGTCACGTAATAACCTGCGTGTACAATACTCCAACGCCAGTACAACCACCGAGCTTCACGCAATCCAGAAAAGACAAATTACTATATGTGCGCAGTCAAACATCGTCGTCGCGCGAATTCCGGACGCTAAGGGTTTCGATACGCCAGAACACCGCCAGAGGTCTGCATGATCCAGAAGGATCGTAACGGCGCGGTGGCGGACATCAACATCACACAAAAACGCGTGTGGAGCGTATTTGTATGTCAGTACGAAAGTCGGGGTGTACGGCCGTGAACGCTGCCAGGTTTCAGCAATTCAGAACACAGTTTACATACGCCGTGCGGTGTCAAACGTTGTCGCCAGATAAATACGCGCAGGTGGTACCATACGCCAGCCTAGCACATCAGATTCGTAGGCCGTAAACGCTGCCGCATTTCGGCAGTCCACGCAAACACATCTGCCTGCGCAGACCCGTATACGTACACAGACGCACATACATAGAATCATATAACTAATATTTTATACATATGCAGTAGAAACCATCCAAGAACATCACTGTAGCATGAAAACTATCTGCGGTAGGCTACGCACTCAAACGAAACGGCCCGTGCTGCATGACGCCCACCTACTGAAGTACGAGAAGAATGACTGCCGCGAAGTCAGGCTCTCCAGCACATCTTTTCGAACCGCACAGTGTTGCTAGTTTCTTCCTCTGTGGAATAAAGGTGAATGTCATGTACGACAACGCTTATACAGCAAAGGCGCAGCTATTGGAACCAGGCAACGTTGAGTAATTTCTTTCTCGACACTTCCGCTGCATGCAGTGCAGGCGATCCCAGCGATGGAAAGACAGCAGAAGCACCCGAACAAATACTTGTTTCGTGTTCGGCCTCTGAGTTGCTCTGCCGACAGTCATGATACGCAGCGGATCCTACGTGGGCACAGGCTGGTAGGCACACACATATACGCGCGTACAGACATGCCTATACGCACGACTGTATATGTGCTCATCATTGTCGAAGCTGGTAGGTACACACATATACGGGCGTACACATATGCCTACATGCACGACTGGATAGGTGGTGCTCATCGTCTAGACTCGGATTACGCCATTTACTTTTGTGAGATGCCCAGCCTAGAGGACTTCCCTCATGGGCACACACGGCATATTCGTATGTTCAGAATGAGGATCTGGTGTAGCCGAGCAAGCACATACGACAAAGAATTTATTGAGAAGAGGCGTTAGTCTTCAGACTCGCTTCTCTCATTGTCAGTGCACCCATGGCAATCGCAGCGGCCTGCAGCACAAGCAAGAGGAGGCGGGGGCCACCTGATGTTCGACATACATGTAAAAGAAGTGTGGGTAGTCATAAACACCTGCGCACGCTTACTTGTACACGCCTCTTTCTTCTACTGTGATACATAGTCGTCCTTTCTTTGCATGTGGGGTGGCCTCAGCTGCGGCTACCATCACGCTGTAGTGGCGGCCGCGGGCGGCAGCCCAGACACGTACTCAGTAGTACACGTCTGCGAGGATAAATTCTCTGACTTGGCGTACACGGTAGCCCCCTGTCGACATGCTCAGCTGCTGATTTGCCTGTGACCCTCGTCCGAAGAGTACGCGGGTTCCCTGTCACTGCAAGATACCTCTGCGTCTTTAGACCGCTGTTGCTGCTGCTACTGCTGCCCTGCCGCTGCTGCAGCTACTGCTCTGCTGCTGCTGCTCCTACTGCTTTGCTGCTGCCGCTACTACTGCTGCCTCCAGTTGCTGCTGCGACCAAGTGAGACTGCGTGAGGACACGGACTGCAAGCCTCCGCAAGTCGTCACCGCGGCGGCGCACTACAGAAGCAGACACTGAAAACAGCGGAGCGCGGGTGAAGAGGTCGCATCGTGTACAGGGATATACATCATAGACGTCCGGGTACTGTAGCATTCCAAGGCGTATGTACCAGTATATGATTGATCTTGTTATGTGCGGCGACCCAAGAGGACGCATTCGGGTGAATACACGTCCATAAGTACAAACGATGTGCATATGTACATACGCACCTATTTTTAGTGACGCGCACAAAAGATGAGCAATTACCCGCGGGAGTTCTGCATTGTTCCTAGTGCTCAGCAGGCATGCGAGGGCGCATGCAATGACTGTAAGATCAAATGTGTTCGGCCGCTCACTGCTGACCACGCAAGTCCCAGGGGGATTCACAGGCATGTGCATACGTGGACGACAGAAGTAAACGGCAACGCTGATCTGGACAGCTGCTGACAAAGTGAGTACCAGGGAGATTTATGGAGGCATGTGCGTATGTCCGGAAGATTGGAAAAGACGCGCAGGCTCACCCAGACCATCCGGGACAATGTCCTTTTCGGGTTACCTCACAAATGTACATTACACGTATGCGCGTACACATATGCGTACGTGCATGAAGAGAGATCTTTGTGCTGGTGCGTAGGCCGGTACATAGTACGGGGTTT